ACAAGGAATCAACAGCTCCAAGATCAGAGTTGAGATCCAAAGTATTCTGAAAATTCGTCCTAGTCAACCGCGAACTTTCGAAAACTTTGGAGGGGGTTCTGTAGGCTGTCTAAAAATAATAATAGATAGCTGATCCCCATCAAAACACCGATGATGGAAGTTACAATCTGACGACTTCCAGAAGGTTACAATTTGAAGACTTTCACGTAGATCGCTAAAGGTTACAATCTGACGACCTTCACGACAACTGATGGAAGCTCTAATCAAACAGCCTTCATAATCAACATCAGGAGTTATAATCTGACGACTCTCACATATCAAAGAGCTAAAGCAAAGATTACAAAGTGACGATCTTTACAACGCTTTGACAGAAAGAGACTAAAAATCGACGGTCTCTTCAAATCAAGCTGCGGAAGTCCTCCCCGCACACCAGCATCAAGACGCATCGTGTTCATAGCCACGAACGCAGCTCAACGCAGCTCATACCACAGCTCCAACCGCTGCTCAACGCAGCTCCAAGCGCTGCCCAACGCAGCTCTATACCGCTGCCCAATGATAGGCAAAATCTGCAAGCGCACAGACTCGTTGTAGCTATCAAGGTCGATCCCACAGGGACTAGGGTTAATTACCAAATCTCACGTTATTCGACTAGCTAAATCTAATGAGTGAATTAGAAGAGATGAAAATTAAAAGAAATAAAATAATAACTAATCAGATAATGAAGGACTAGGATTGGGTTATCACCACAACTTAGGTGTTCAATGATGAATTATTTCAATTCTTGGTGTTGGTTTAATCTAGAAAGGGTGAATTAGCCTAAATTAATCTAAAGCCTCTTTCAAGGTCTAAAGATCGTGCTTAATCAATCTCAATTAACCTACTTTCGTGGAATCAAGATTAAATTAAACCCATTAAGCTTTATGCTAATCCAAATCAAATCCCCAAGGAATCTAGCCTACTTTCGTGGTTCGAGCTCCCTGCTTAATTTCTAGAGATCCGGTATTAATCTTCACCTTTCAGTCCTTCAATTAATTACCTATGATTGCTAATACGGTGATCAAGCGAATCAACAAAATTAAAACACTAGAAATCAAGTTCAAAGATTTAAACTTTCACCAAGAACCTATATCAATTCATCATCAATCACCAAAAAGTTGGGTTCTTTCCCAATCCTAGACAAGAAATCTACTCACACATGATTGGAATAAGAGAATACATCAAATAATTATACAAATCAATCATAAGAAGAAATAAATCAAAGAGAGGAAAGAATTAACCTGTCTTTCAATTGAAATCTTCAAAATAAGAACTTGCAATCCAATCTTCTACAAGAGATTAATGTCTTCCTTCAATACTTGAACCCTAGAATAGTTGCTAGTTGATGGCTAAAAGAACATAACAAAAGATATCCAAAACCCTAAGTCAAAACATCTATTTATATGTCCCCAAAAATCTAGAAAATAACTAATTCCCGCGCCACCGGTGTGGTCTGCACCACACCAGGGTGTGGTAGGGGCTGTTTTGCTGATTTTGTGCTTGTTTCTTCAGTTTTCGGTATTTTACTAAGATAATGCATATTTTACGTGTTTATCAACTCCCCCAAGCTTAGACTTTTGCTTGTCCTCAAGCAAATAGACAATAAAGAAAATAGGAGGAGTGGAAGCCAAATAGAGTAGGGATCACCCCCTCATCAATCCTTTAACCAATATCAAACATATCACAAAACAAATACTTTTCATCGGGACTTAACAAATTAATTTCCAAAACTCTCAACAAAATCACATTTCAAAATTTATTTACGATCACAAGCGTCACAAGTCAAGGATAGCCATCCTATCCAATTCTCAAGTCAAAGTAGGAAAAAGAAATTCATGTAACTAGCTTCAATCCCGAAGTACTAAAATTGAGACCTTCAGGTAGTTAAATTGGTAGACCTCACTTTAGGATAAGTGGACTCTCAATCTCTCATGTGTTTAAGGATAGGATTGTATCGCTCAAAATTCTTTCGAATGGATGTATTCAATCCATAAGCTTGCATTTCATCTCAATTCTCCACCACTTCGAAAACTAATGCATGCAACAAAATCATGAGGTCTTTTATTTGGTTGTAATGGGGCTAGGGTCAAAAGGGTAGGATAGATATTTGGGATTGGTTGAAAGCCTATCACTAGTGGAGCTATGATTGCAAAAGATTAGATCTCAAAGTAAGATCAATGACATCTACACAAACTCCATCGTCTATTAAAGAACTTCTTCCAACTACTCCTTTTAGTATGCCATAATAAATTCTTTTGACAACCGCAATTACATACACCATAAAGATGACAACTTTATTCATCTTTTTTTTTCCGAATTTTTTTTCTTTTTTTCTTTTTTTTGTATGAAAGAAGCAAACACCTACTTTCACACCCCCAATCTTACATTTCATTGCTCACATAACCCGTTACATCATAAATTGTGCTCCACTAGCTTAGACAATGGGTAAGGGATACAATCGGATTTTGAAGGTTACATATGTGGGTTTAATCAACAAAATTAGGCTCATAGGCTCAAGGGGGCTAATCAAAGGAAACAATAGTGCATGGTAGGCTATTTGGCTAATGTGGACTATAAACAAAAATGTGCCTCAATCACCTTTTATGCATACAAAAGTTATATGTGTCCTTGAAGAGATTCAATGCAAGTTCTAGTATCCTACACCATTGGAGAATATCACACAAGCAAAGAAAATAATGATTGAATATGTAATGCATCCAATTTCAGGCTCAAAATCTCACGGGTTTTATTTTCTACCAAATTTAATTCCCCTCTTGTCTCAATAGAGTAATGGTTATGACGCTAGCCACATAAACGCTAAAACCTATAAGAAAAGAGAACATTCAAGTCTGGTTCTCCCATATTGTTAACTTGTAATCAAAAGCCATTGAGAATCAGTTGAAAGATGGTTTAAGAAGTTGTTAAGTCCCAATTAATGAGCATCTATCTAGTTCAATGATCGATAAAGGTTAAGCATTCATGTCATCATCAGGAGATCATTTCCCTAATTGTTTTTTTTTTCGTTTTTTTTTTTGAATTAAGAAACAAAGCAAAAGAAAAACTAAAATAAAAGAAAAATAGGCAATTATAGACAGGCAATCAATGCATGAACAACCCACACCCCCAAGCTTAAGATCGACATTGTCCTCAATGTAAAAAAAATAGAAATTAGTGCAAGGGTGCAGGAAACATACCAACTCACTAGTCAGAAGGAGGCAGCGCGGAGGCATCCTGTCGGAGCTGCCGCTCGTGAAAAGACTGCATCATGTAGTGTATAGAGTCCAGTAGTTGTCCTTGACGTTGTTGCTCTTGCTCGATGGCACCTACACGGTTAGTAAGAGAGGCAAGAGAAATATGGATAGCTGATAATTCCGCTGACCAATCAGGGTGATGGAAGCTTCCTCCGTTTTGCCAAATTCCTTACGGTTTGGGAGATATCTGCGTTTTCCCCTTTTTCTGCTATTTCGGGCGAGGTTTTAGCAGTTTTGTTCTGAACTTCTCTGATAAGGATTAAAGGCAATTTTTATTGCCTACAAGCACGAACGCGAGGTTTGTCTGAGAACGAACGCGAGGTTCTTTTGAAAAATGAATGCGAGGTTCAACTTGAGAACGAACGCGAGGTTCGTTAAAAAAAAATGAACGCCATGTTCAACTTAAGTACGAACGCGAGTTTCGACTGAAGTATGAACGCGAGGTTCGACTGAAGCACGAACGCGAGGTTCGACTGAAGCACGAACGCGAGGTTCGACTTAGAACAGAACGCGAGGTTCACCTTAGAACTGAGCGCGAGGCTCACATTAGAACGAACGTGAAGTTCGTTGAGCGCGAGGCTCACTTGAGAACGAACGCGAAGTTCGTTTGAACGCGAAGTTCGGTTAAAATTGAACGAACGCGAGGTTCGTTTGAAGCTTACCGCTTCGCCAAAATTTGAAGCTTAATGTTCGCCATGTTTTCACGCACGAACCCTTAGGGTTTCAAACTGAAACCGCCGCCATTAAAACAAAAAAAGATCTAGAATCGAAAAATGAGTTTTCTTGATCCAGATCCAAGAAAAAAAACCGCCGAAAAACCCAAAAAATTCAAAAAAGTTACTGTTCACCGGCGATTTTTCAGTTACTGTGCATCCGGGAAAAAACTTTAACGTTCATCCGAAAATTTTCGTTACTGTTCACCCGGGAAAAAACTTTACTGTGCATCCGAAATTTTTTTCGTTACTGTTCATCCGGGAAAAAACTTTACTGTGCATCCGAAAATTTTTGTTACTGTTCATCCGAAAAAAAAATTTACTGTTCATCCGAAAAAACAAAACTGAATCTTTAACCAGAGATTTAAGATCAAAAAACCCAATAAAACTTAAATCCCTAAGAATTAATCAAGGTGGCTCTGATACCACTTGTTAGATCTAAACCAAAGCTTGAGATCTAAAACCATATAGCCATGATTAATTCAAAGAGATTAACAATAATCTAAAAGTGCGGAAGCTTATACCTGAATCCATAGAAGAAATCTTGATTTGGGTTTTTGATGATCTTCTAACCTTAGGGTTTCTCTAAATCTGAATTTCTCTTACTAGATGGGGGTGTAGAGAATTAGAGAATATAACTCTAGGTTAGGGACTATAACCCCTTATTTATAGATGTTGTACTTTTATAATTTAGCCCCTCAATAAATCATAATTACAACCTGGTGTACTTTTATAATTTAGCCCCTCAATAAATCATAATTACAACCTGGTATCTGCACATATAACCCCATGATTATATTTAAATACCCATTAACCCAACTTAATTGATCACTTTAGTGGGTTATCCTGAAAGATAACAATACACATTGATTAATCATATGTGCCCACAAAACATCCTCGCATATATGTTAGAAAACATCCTCACACGTATTTCAGATACATTCATAGTCACAAACTTAGCCAAAAGCTGAGAAATGTTACAAAACATACTCACATATATTTCAAATACATATATTACAGAACAATTTTAACTTAAATCCAATTTTCTCTCTTCTTTCTTCTTTCTTGTTTTTTCTTTTCTAGCTGGCCCATTACTCATCTCGGAGGCTCAACGCGCTACAAGGCAAGAACAATAGAGGTAATATACAAGGTATAAAATTGAAAAATGCAACATTATTAAACAACATAAATGCATCATAATAGTACACTTTGTAGGAGACTACGTTGCAATTAAAGGCGACGCCTCTGTTCTGAGGGTCATAACAACACAATGGTCATTACTATAATAAGAGAATACAGCGAATGAGATAGCAGTAGAATGAACAAACTTGGAACTATTAGCTCAAAGCAAATTACTCCATTTGCGCCATAGAATGTCAACAAATCAAACTGGGAGGATCAAAACATAATTTTCATACAGCTAAATAATTAACCAACAAATGTAAGACTGCAAAAATGCTAAATTTGCAAAATCAAATTCTAATCTTTCAAAAACCCTAGAAATTCAGAAAACCCTTTCAAAAACCCTAGATATTCCAGTCTTTCAAGCTAATCAAGCAAGCAGACAAACCAAAAAAAAACCCAAATGGGCATTTCACCAAACAAGGAACAAGCATGAAACTAAATCAAGCTAAACAAACCAAAAAAAAACCCAAATGGGCATTTCACCAAACAAGGAACAAGCATGAAACTAAATCAAGCTAATCAACAAAGAAGCCAAAAAAACACCACCAAACAAGGAACAAGCATGAAACTAAATCAAGCTAATCAACAAAGAAGCCAAAAAAACACCTAGTTTCTAAGGGAAGCATTTCATGACTGGGCAATTTAATGTATATGATAAACTATAGGTTTTTGCATCTCAAAGAAACTAGTTTGGAAACAACATAGAAAGCTAGAAAACAGATGGCAAAATTGTCTAGTTATGTTTAGTTACTGCTGTTTCAAGTAAAATGAGGAGCGTTCCAAAGTAATCATCTTTACATACCTCACCATACCGTCCGTGACCTGACATCCATGCCTCTATATCAAACTTGTGATATGCAGGTGCTCCCAAATCACCAGTTGCCATATCCAAAGTCCTACAAGTGCACTGGAGGGTTTCTTGTGTTTTATCACTGATAAATCACTATATGTTACTAAGAAACTTTCAACAGATTAAGATAATTATCATGGCAAGCCTACAACAATAATCAAATGGACCATCAGTAAGAAGAGAGATCATGCTAAATGACATTAAAGAGAACAAATGTATTACTTGAAATGAAGACCGAGGGATGTAAACAGATCTTCCTCCTCCTCCTTATCCTCTTCGCCGGTGGTGACGATGATCTCCTCGAGCTTGATGATCGGGGCGATCTGAGCTCCGGTGTCCTCTTCCTCGTTGGCGGCGGCGCCGTGGGATTCTTCCTCGTCTCTCCGATCGGCGTCAGAGCTCGCCATGACAAAGGATTTGATCGTTTTGAGAGGCGGGATCTACAGGTGGAGATGAGAATGGAGTTTGTACAGCTAGGTTTTAATAAAGGGGAGAGAGGAGTAAGGCAGGGGTAGTTTAGGGTTTATAATTTATTTTTGTGTATATTGTATATATATTGGATGTATTAATGCTTTTTGGGTTGAGAGGCAAATACACACAGTTCTATGGGTTAGTATAAAGTTTTTTTTTTAAATTATCAGCCAAAGATGCCCTAAATAAATGCGGCAAAGCTAAGCATGTTGTGCTATTCTGAAAAAATACTCAATAGATAGGATGTCGATAGAAAGTATCTAGATATACAGGGCCCCATAGAAACTAACAACAAAATTAAGGTCTAATACGTTAGAATCCCAACTTATTAACAAGCTTGCAGCCAATTCCAAATATTTTTAGGGACAAATTTTAGAAACAAACCCTTTTGCAAAAATATTCTCAAAAAAAGACTCGTTTCCACTTTATTTTTAAAAAACGACCTAGGGCTGAAACTGTGTCATTTTTTACGAAAAATGTTCCCAAACTTTACTAGAGTTGAACTATTGTAAAAAGTTTTGCTTTGAGAAAATTTCGTGAGAGTTCAACTTCCATGAAGTTTGAGAACATTTTTCGTAAAAAACGATCCAGTTTCAGCACTGGGGATAAAACTATGTCGTTTTTTGCGAATATTTTCAAAACAGGTTTTTTTTGAGAATATTTTTGCAAAGGGGTCTGTTTTAAAATTTTGCCCATATTTTTACCCAAAATAATAATAATAATAATAAATAAATAAATAAAATAAAAACAAGAAAAGACCTGCAAACTCTCCTTCAGCGCCATGGATTCCTCCATCGATTTCTCTCAACTACAAGGCGCTCTCGCCTCCGAATCCTACGATAAGATCGCAGACATCTGCGACGAGCTAATGCTGCAGGTCAAATATTTCAAAATTCCACCATCTAGGGTTTATCTAGGGTTTTACTTTCACAAATCTAACCCTTTTTCGATCTAAATTTCATCTTCAGGTTGCCTCCAAGGGAGTCGCATTCGAGATCGAGTGGCCGTACGCGATCCATCTCTTAGGTCACTTTTACATCAACGATCTGTGAGTTGCCGTTGTAATTTATCTCTATTTTTTGCAGTTTGTGGTAATTTTTGGGGTAACTTTTGAGGAATAGAGCTAGAGTTTGCCGTTTTGGTTAGGGTTAGATTGCTTCGAAGGGAATCAACTCTTCTTTTTTTGGGTAATTTTAGGTTTTTTTTCTTGCAGGAATAGCGCTAGGTTTTTGTGGAAATCGATACCGAGTCATGTCAAAGAGGCTCAGCCAGAGATTGTGGCAGTTTGGAAGATTGGGCAATGTCTCTGGACTAGAGATTATGCTGGTGTTTTTGGCGCTGTTCATGGTTTTGAATGGAGTGCAGATGTTGCTGGCATTGTGACTGCCTTCTCAGGTGCGCAAATATTTTCTTTTTAGGTGGTAACTTTCTGGTACTTATGTTCTTAGTTTGTTAGTAAAGATGCAGTTGAAGTTGCAAATTGCAATGAGAATCTATGTTTGTTTCCGACTTACGAGGAAGGGATAAGAAAGAGGAAAATTGCAGTTTAAAGTGGGCAGCTTTGAAAGAAGTTTGTCCCAGTGTTTGGGCATTTTGGACGCATTGTATTTTGTACCAGTGTAGAAAATAGTGCGTTACGTAGCGCAAAATAGCGCTTAACGTAACGTAGCATTAACCCACCGCCACAGCGGTGTAAAATAGCGCATGCACAAAATAACGTGCGCTATTTTGGTCATAGCGCACGCTACGTAACGCGTCGTCGTGGCGCTTTGTAGCTTAGCTTATATTGTTCAATGGCTGGGATTGATTTTAAAATGATTCAATGGCTGTGATTGAGTCTAAGTGGGTGGAGCCCACTTTTCATAAGTTAAATTCATCTAAGTCTAAAACCCTAAAGGTCCTGGTCCTGCTGTCGTCGCCTCCAGATCAAAAAAATAAAAATAAATAAATAAATAAAAACCCATTTCTGTCTTCTTTTTCTTCTATTTCGGTCCTGCTGCCATCGTCATCGTCTCCCGCTGCTCCTTTCGACCTCGTCATCGTCTTCCGCTGCTCCATTTGACCTCATCATCATCTCCCGCTGTTCCTTTCAACCTCGTCATCGTCTCCCGCTGCTCCTTTAGTATTTTAGTAGTATGAGGGATTGATTTAGTGGAGGATGACTCATTTTGTAGGATTTATTAAAACTTATGAAGTAGAAATGCTTGTTTTGTTAAAATGTCTATGATTTGGTTTCGAACTTGAAGTATTTTATGCTTTTGGATTGATTTTTAAGGCAAACATGGTTGATTTTGTTGTGAAATTGTGATGATATATTGATTTGTGATAGTATTTTTATGATGATATGTTATGGTTGATTTTGTTGTGAAATTGTGATGATATATTGATTTGTGATAGTATTTTTATGATGATATGTTTTGAGAATTGCGATGATTATTCATATTTTTTTATTTTAAATGTTATGTATCTATAAAATATTTAAATAATAATAAATTATTTAACCTACGTTAAGAGTTACGCTATTTTGGGTTTTGCGTTAACCGGAGGTAAGCGTTACGCTATGCGTTATCGCTATTTTCAACATTGTTCCGTACAATGGCTGTAAAATTTCTGCTCATACTATAAGTCCATGCCTTGTTGGTTGGTTGTGGATTTTGCCGTCCTTTGGAGCTATACATGATGATTATCCAATGATTGATTCAACTCTATGTTATTTTGTGTTTAAATCCGGTTAACTTGGTTGCGTTTGTTAGGTCTTCTTTCTTTTATGCTTGCTCTATGGATGCATTTGTTGCTGTATTGTATTGAACTTCATACAGTAAAAAGTAAGTGGTGACTTTGTACTGGGGACATTATCTTGCAAATAAGCTAATGTTATAAAGCCACCAAAGTGGGAAGAATAGATTAAGCCAACATGTAAGCAAGGAATAATAGAGCTAGAGTTCCAGATTGAAAAATAATCCCAACATAGTATTATGATTGAAAGTATGTTTGGCAAATGGTCAAAGTGGATTATAATCCATTAATCCACTTTTGTCGATTATAATCCACTTTAGGATGTTTGGCTAGTGGATTATTTTGGATTATAATTCTTTAAAACTAAGCTAGGGTATCCCCATGTATTTTTTGGTGGATTATACTCTATGAATTTTCACCAACCAAAAGACAATTTTACCCCCTCATGATTACACAAATTTCCAAGCCCCATTTATTGAGTCATGTTCTTTTTGGTTATTTTGATAAAATGGTTGATTGTAATCAATTCCAAGGTTTTGAATATCAAATATCAGGGAAATATCGGATGACCAAAATTCATAGCGGATTGCGGATATTGGGGAAATATTGGTGATATGTGGTAAATATCAGAATGACATAATAGATGTTTACATAGGTAGTATAATGCACTAAAATATAATACCAACTTACTTAATGAAATCTAAGTACATAACCTAAATAATATATGTTTAGGACGCTAATCAACCTTGTAAAACAAACAAAAGTACAAATCAACATTGTAATATTTTGTTAGATTTTTCGGCCAAAATGTCATTTCATATAATGAGAAAGTCATGATATCTCGTCGAAAAATTGCCAAATACAGTATATTGTTTTGTGATAAGCCATATAAAAGGATATATTGACCAATATAACCGCTGATATATCGGCCATATCGGGGATATGTCGCTCAGAATAGCCAAAAAGCGTTAAAGGATATTTAACGACCATATCAGTTGCGGCAAGCCTTGTAAAAGGATATATTGGATCATGTCGGGATATTGCCAAACATGTAAAATTTAAAAACAGATTGTGATGCACTAAATTTACCAAACACTTTGGATTATAACCCATGTTTCTAAACATGCCCTGAGATTGCCGGATATGGTTTCAAAGATGAAGTTTGTCTAGTATTTGAGCAATGGCTAAGGGTAGAACTAAGTTTGTCAAGTATTTGAGCAATGGCTAAGGGTAAAAGTGATGGCGTTCAAAAATCTTTTGCAAGGCATGGAAGCAGTTTAGTTGTACTTAAAAAAAAAGAATGTGAATAAGGATAGGTAGGATGGAGTATTAAGTAGCAGATGAACAATTGGAAGTTCACCATTGGCTCACACCAATAATTGATATATCATATATCTGTGTAATTTATTGGTAAACTCTACATATTCAGAATGAAATCCCACAAGGCTTTTGAGACTAGGAAAGTGATAGTTACCTATGTAGTAAGATGCTGAAAAGCTTTGAAGTCTAAAGACTCTAAACCATTGCACAAATGATCATAAATTGAGGCATAAGAACGCGTATGATAGTTGTTACTATAGCAATGAAATAGCTATTAATTGAGCTGAATTAAAAAAAAATTGATTTTAAGTAGAGAAAAACAAGATGCATGTAGCTTAGCCTGTGTAATCTTTGTTGTCATGCCAATTCCGTGGTAGGATCCGGAATCTTGGTCTATTTCATAGGATATCGCAATTGTTGGTTTTTCAGACAAGGCATGTCTATATGCTAGCATTGCCACATCTTTGTTTATTAGGATCTTGCCTGCCACACATGCCTTTGATTTCAGCACAGAAATCTCTTTTATTTACACCGTCTTTTATATCTTTGAGAGTTTCTTTTATTGTGCATGTCTTGGCCTCAGTTATGTTTGGCTAGATAAACTACTTCTCAGTTGATAGGATTGAGGGTGTTTTGATAGCCTCATGACGGTGGAGTATACTGGGCAATCTCATTTTCCTTGTTTACTTTATAGGCTTCTTTTCAATTGATGGTTTTCATTGGCTTTCCATTCAACTATGATGGTGTACATGCTCCCCCTGCCGTTTTTTAATTTCTGCAGAACTGAGATTGTCCCACGTGTAGCATTTGGTTTCTTTTCTCCATCTCCTGTGCTAGAGTGTTCTTCCACTTTGTTTCCCAATCTTAATTCGACGTCCTATCATGTTACTAACTGCTACAGTGATCACTGTTGTACTTAATAAATTGATTTTTGGTTCCTTGGTTTCCATCTTTAGCCACCTAAATTGAATTCATCAATTACCTTCTGAAATATTAAGCAACTTTTGGTTAACAAGACGGTGATATGATATCCAAGACACAGAAACATATAAATAAGATTGCTAATGCTCTTACTTTATTTTCTAACCACAGACAAAATTTTGTTGGTATGAGTAATAGACTTCATTTCATGGTTCCACTTTGGATTGGGGATTGTTAACCCATAAGTTGAACACAAATATCATGCAACTCACTTTGTTTAGTTTTACACCTTGCATATGTGTCTTTAAGTAAAACCATGAAGATATGGGACATGTTAGGAACCTGATCAATAAAAGGATCCAATGACTGAGTTCTCTTCTTTGCACAATATGTCATCTGCAAACTTAATGCAAGGTGGAGATTACTTGACTCTATGTTGCATTGGATTTTCTCAGCCACAGCGTCTTGAAGATAAATGTTACCTGGGTACTTCTAATCTGAAGCCGTACCCGTACCCGACACATACCCGTACCCGTACCCAAACTCCTTGGGTACTCCTTGCATGAATGCATTCATTTATTCGGGCATGTACTCAATTATACAATACATGTTTGAATTTAAAACGCTTGTCAAACATTTTTTGGACATATATCCTACACTTCACACCCATTTCTTGAAACTCGTTAGACATAGGTTAGGGTTTTGAATTATGATTTTGAAGGGTCATCTGGATGTCTAGTTTAATAACCGGTGATTTTCCAATTTATAATCCATGTAATAAAAGAAATGTAAAACTGTTAGAGGACTTTTAATTCTCATCATTGATCTCATATAAATTATTAATTCCAATATATAATATATGTATATATAAAATATTTATATAGCAGTGTCCTTGTACTCTACCTTTGGCAAATTTGCTGTGTCCCTACCCCCTACCCGTACCCGTACCCGTACCCATATTCATGCACCGTAGATGGGGAACAATCAAACTATTTTAAAAACCACAAGCTATCAAGGAAAATGAAGTAGGTCATGACATAACAACTATTACCACCTTAATTGGAAGGCAGAAGCCATACAATCAACATTTATGATTATATAATGCACAAACAGGCAGCAGTTATTTCCCTCTTTCTTTTTCTGTATTATCTAAAATACTATTAACAACAAGTCTATAATGTAGGATGGAAGTTGCAATTATCTTCACACAGAAGAAAGTGTTTATTTCGCATAAATGGTGTCCTTATTGTGGTTCTGTTCTTTATTTTGTTTTCCAACAACTAATACTGATTTTTATTCATCTTCTTCCTCTTTTCCTATCCAGTTTGTCCTTTTTTTGCATTCAACAGAAAGCATTTGATATTGTTGATTAGAGGTTTCATCACCAGTAGATGAGGGTTTAGAACTTCCCCATTTGGTCTTCAAGTATAGTTCTACGACTATTCATCAGAATGACTATTCTGATAAATTAAGTTGAATCTGTAGCTCAAGCATACCAAAGAAGAGTCTCTTAGATGGATGTTGTGGCAGTAGACATGTAATTCGTGCTTGACTTTGTGTCACAGTTGGACCTGTGCAAATTTGGTGTTCGAATAAAACCTCATTGATCTTAATATTCAGCTGTCTGGATAATGCTATATATTCTCTGCCTGTTGATTTATGCCTTGCATTCTTTGAACCATTGATTTAATCTACGATTACAAGTTTCTTGCTGTCTGGCTTTGATTTTCAAGTTCTAACTGTTTAAATGCTGCAGAGAGCTATACCAAGCGAATGTTCCAGCTGCTGCAGTCTGCATATTCAACAATTACGGTTGCTGATGCAGCCCATTTTATGGGGATGAGTGAAGATGATGCCACAAAATGTATTCTTCTATCACTTTCCTTGAAATGTGTTTTCAATTCATTTGGAAGTGATCAGGACAATAATTAACATCAACGGCTATTAGAGAACATCCTTCTGTGTATCTAATCTCTTTTTTGGTAAGGGAGAGTAAATGTGTGTACTTGAACTTTTGCGTACATAAGTTATTTGTTTTAGAGAAAAATATCATCAACTTTAAATTCAACAAGAAAATGCGAAAACATTAAGAGCACTACCCCATGAAGGTTAGTACCTTGAACTTTTGTTTGTGTTTTATAAAAGGTAAAACTATCATGAATTTCATATTAAGTCAGTAAACTATCATGAACTTTGCATTATTATCAGATAACTAGTATGAACTTTCAAGTATTATATAAAGTTATCATATAGTTTTGTGAGTCCTTTGAGTTTCTTTTTGGCTAATGTAGATGCTTATCATGTTTTCCTCCAATAAAAATAGTTTATGTTAAGTCTTATATGCAGAACCCCTAAAACCGTTCAGGATTGTTTTGTGAAACTTAACTGTATATAAACCATGCTTTCATTTGTTACCTCTGATGTTCTGAAGCATCACCATCTGACAACACCTATTTCCACTTCTACTTCTTCAAGCTTCCATTTTGTTGGCTGCTGCTTAACTCTTGTATATGTGCTTCATATTTGATTGCAGATGCACTTCAACATGGCTGGACTTTAGATTCATCCTCCAACATGCTTACGGTGAGGAAACCGATTGTCGTCAAGCAGCAGAAATTAGACCCCAGCAAATTACAGCGCCTTACTGAATACGTTTACCACTTGGAGCACTGATTTTCTTCCCTGTGAATTCTCAAGAAAAACCCTTCTTTTTGTGCCTGAAGGTGTATGGCTTATTACCCCTTTTTACTTAAGAATGATACTTTGATTTTGGAAGAGAGAAATATTCAGGAAACTAAGCAGAATTTTCTTCTCATGTTGATGGTTTGAGGAATTGGTGCTAATGTTTTACTGTGCACAATGAATGCAATTGTTTGTATCGATGCGGCTTTGAAAGAGTTTAAGACGAGTTTGTGGTAGCATAAATTTGTGTGATTTGTTTTTGTTATAGTGGTCTGTAGTAAATGTTAGTACAGCCAAGCATCTCCAACGAACAAACACACTTAGACGCAGTCATTTTGTTCCTGATAAATGATTGTGGAAGATAAAGTTTTGTACTTTGGAGAGATTCTGAAGTTAAAGATGCATATGAACTTGATAAAGCTCGAAAAAACTGCGGACAAGGTGGGAACAAAAATATTGAAGGTTTCTATGAGAAACGCTGGAGCCAATATTTCCGGAAGGGCAAATGGCATTTACGGAAAAAACGAGAGATTATTGCATTTGATACTGGCAGATGTTCTGATACAAAATGACATGTAAAGTGTGGGCAGATGGTAGATTTCATGGTGTTTTTCAAATTTTTACTATCTGATTCAATCGTGTTTTACAAATATTTATAAAACCGAATCTTATGGTTAACTGAAACTGAGTCAAATTGACTGATATTAGTTCGGTCAGTATGGTTTGGTTTGGTCTATTCACTTTGGATTCGGACTAGTGTTTTTTTTTTTTTTTCTGTTGGTCTATTTTATTTAAAGGAAGATGCATACAATCAACAAAAGAAAAAAAAATCTATCTCTATTTATCTACACAACTATAAACAAAGCCCTATTTTTGGGTAAATGAGCTTCGTTTTCAATAAGGGCCTGTTCGTATGCCTAAAAAAAAGAGGGAAATCAAAGAAATGGAAAACTATTAAAATGAAGAATTGTTTTTGGAGTGTTTGGTTGGCTAAAAAAGAAGGAAATCAAAGAAATAAAATTGAAATGATGTTAGTTGTCACCTTATTATTGGATGATGTTTGTGATTTTTTAAGAAAACTAGTTTTGGAGTGTTCGGTTGGCGAAAAAAAAATAAGGAAATGAATTATAAGAAACATATTTCCTGTAGTTTCTTGTTTTCTTTTGTTCGGTTCATTCTTAAAAATAAGAAATGAAATGAGATGAGATGAGTTGTCATTGTATTATTGGGTGATGTGAAGAAAGATTAAGAAAATTGTTTTCATAACTTTTTGGGATGAAAATGAAGAAATGAAATGTTAATGAGATGAGGTGAATTGTTATAATATTTTATTGGATGATGTGAGTGATTTGAAATGATGAGAAGAGATGAGTTGAGTGATGTTTGGATGAAAATAATATTTTATTAGATGTGATGGATGAGTTGTTAGATGAAAATAATATTTTATTAGATGTGATGGATGAGTGGTTAGATGAAAATCATATTTTATTAGATGATGTGGATGAGTTGTTGGATGAAAATAATATTTTATTGGATGTTGTGGGTGAGTTTTAGGGATGGAAATGGAGGAAATGGTGAGTTTTGAGATTTTTACCATTTCCATTTCCATTTCTTGGTATTTAGAAAACAAACGAACAGACCCTAAAACGAAATATACCCCCAAAAAAAGGTCCTAAAGAATTATCTACCAACATTATTATCAAGAGCCTTCATGAAAAAAAAACTAATAGGAATCCTGGAAAATTTTCTACCCTCAACTCCTTAACCATCTAGTAACTGCCCATTATAGCTCCATTCTCATCATTATCTCTCCAACACCATATGGCCACGGTTGTTTTTCTATCCCCAGAATTGTGGGTAACGTATTCCCGGATTATAGTCCTGAGGTTATATAATCATGGGATTATTTTCGTCTAGTTCAATATTTGTTTTCACACTGCCTAACTTGTAGCAGGAGAGAGAGGATGATGCTTTTTTTTTCTATATCTGCCATCAAATAATGCACAAGCATCTAGTTAAGTTGCTCGAAGCTGCGGATGGATTTTTTTTATCTGGCAAATTCCACCACATCTTCGCGCCACCATTAAGAGTGACAAGAAAGGCTTTGCAAATGACCGGGCCACTCACATGCTGCATGTTCATCATGTTGTAGAAATTCTACGCATTATCGAGCGGGACGCACTCTCCCTTGTACTTCTCGATGTGTAGCATCTTGAATTTTGGACAGGGGGGTTCATGATCCAAGTAGCGAAAGGGCTATTACCTCCGATGATGTCGGCAACTATGTTAAATATTCGGTCATAAGCAGGTGCCCAGTTGGTTGCAGAGGGGTTTAGCCCTAGTCACTGGGGTTTGAGTCGTGTAGATGTGTCACACACCTCGCGACCTTGCGTGCAGCCTGTTCTGAGTCGAGGCTCGAGCTTTCGCTTGTCGCCTCCATGTGTTGTTGATGTTGTCATGGATATTGATGTTGCTTTTCATGGAGAGGAGTGATAGATGATGGAGGCTGAGAGGGAAGGTTGAGGAGTTCGTTTGTGAACGAAACGAACTGCTATCGGAGAGATTGAGCTATCATTGAGTGGATTCATCCAACTTGAGTGACAGCCAAAGTTGGAAGTTTCTCTAGGGTTTGGAACCGAATATCAAAAGAAGAAAAAGAGGTCCCACTATAGGTGCCAAACTATTTATGTTAGATAGTTAATTGTGGGGATAATTAGATATTTGGAAGAGTTCAAGATTCCTTAATCTTCTTTGATGGCTAATCAACAAAAGAGAGGAAGATTGCTGCACAAATAACACCATTAGAGAACCGGAGTTGCTTTCTCCGATGTATCCTCTGATGCTCCGGTTAGTCACTAATGAAATAGATATGCAAAATCTAGTTTTAGGGTGTTATGAAGCATAAAATTGCGTACCTTTGAATAAAGGAGACTATCCAGTATTTTGTTGAATATCATATCTCCATGATAGTGTTTTGATGATAACAATTTATACAGTGTGTGCACTAACTTTTATATGCAGATTTCAATATCAGAATATGTACAAGTGCAAGTTGATTTCAAGGCATTTTGAAGTGAAGAAAATGAAGAACAAATGAGATAATATATTTTACATTTTCTTTACTTAGAATAATTGTACAAGCCTTGATCACACACACACACACACACACAATATTAGAACACACTAACACAGGCTTAGTGTGTTGGTTAACAATAGAAATCCCCTATGTTAACCATTAGAATTATAGTTAAAACTTAATTATAAAAACTTTTTATAGCAGAATTTTTACTCTTAGTAGTCGACTAATTGGAATAGTAGTCGACTACTCATGTATAAAACTCAAATACATGTTTCTGTCAATTTACAGTATAGTCGACTACAATAGATTATAGTCGACTACTCAAGTGTTCGACAGAAACATAAGTTTCTGTCATTTTACAGTGTAGTCGACTAATCATCATTATAGTCGACTACTGAACACAAATTTCATTTTATCAGTTTCTGTCAAATTACAGTGTAGTCGACTAATGAGCATTATAGTCGACTACTGAGAAAATTTCTGAATACACAGAGTCTGTTTGAACTCAGTGTAGTCGACTACAGATACAGTTTTTCCAGTTTTCAAAGTTTGAATTTGTGACTATTTATAGCCGTTTTTAAACGTTTTTAAAGTTCAAAAAATTGTCTTTTCAAGGGCTATAGATAGGTTATTTGTTCAGAAAATTGCAGAGACATACATACCCATAAGCTTTGATTTTTGTGCAATTTTTCAAGTAAAAAATATTCAGATTTTGTGAAAAAAAAAAGTTTCTGAAATTGCCTCTAAACATTCATCAAATACTTATCATTTAGGCAATTTACAGAGGTTAAAAGAATCCTAAGCCACTGCTGCACTTCACTACTCATTCAAGGCTTATAGGATCAATTGTGTTCTTACTTCAACAAGGATTTCTCTCGGGTTTGAGAGGGTTAATCTCTTGGTTTAGAGATTGGTGTTCAAATTGGCAAGGTGTTTGTCAATTGGTGTTGCAATTTACAGGGACTTGCAAATTGGTCAGGTTTGCGTTTGATTTTGTAAGTTTATTCAAAATCATAGTGAAAACTCTCAAGCAGGATTTGCTTGGGGACTGGATGTACACCGGATTGGTGGAACCAGTATAAAATCCTTGTGTTTTTTATTGTGAATTTCTGAGATTGCCATTTTTCTTTGCAATTTATAATATACTTTGCATAAATTTTAAAAGAACACTATTCACCCCACCCTTTAGTGTTCAAGTGTATCTATTTCAGATCCTACATTTGGTATCAGAGTAAGGTGAAAGATGGCATCGACAAATACTTCACAATTCAAAGAAGGTCACTCAACAAATCGTTCACCAATGTTCGATGGATTGAACTACAACTATTGGAAATGCCGAATGAAGATTTACCTTCAATCAATTGGCTACGAACTTTGGAATGTCGTGGAAACGAAATATGAAAAGCCAACCACTCCTTTCGCGAAATGGACTACATCTCAAAGGAACAATGCTAACTTGGATTCTAAAGCAATGAATGTCTTATTTTGTGCACTTAACAAGAATGAGTTCAATAGGGTGTCAACGGCCACATCTGCATACGATATTTGGCATACACTTGAGGTAACTCATGAAGGTACAAATAAAGTTAAAGAATCTAAAATTTCTGTTCTTGTGCACAGATTTGAATTATTCAAGATGAAGGAAAACGAGACTATAGGAGAAATGTTTACAAGATTCACCGACATCACAAATTCTCTCATTGGTCTTGGAAAAACATATACACAAGTGGAGATGGTAAGAAAGATACTTCGATCACTTACTCCACAATGAAAAAAGAAAGTTACCGCTATTTAAGAAGCCAATGATTTATCAACTCTTACGGTTGAAAATCTTATTGGTAATCTTATGGCATATGAAGTTCAAATTGAAGATAGAAAGAATGATGAAGAATCAAAGAACAAGAAAGTTCTTGCATTCAATACTACTTCCAATAAAGAAGATTCAGATGATGATGATGAAGAAATGGGCATGTTTGCACGAAAATTTCGGAAATTTATAAAACGAGGTAATTTTAAATCTAAGAATTCAATTTCAAATAACCCTCTTTGTTTTAAGTGTAATAAACCAGGGCATATGAAGAAAGATTATCCAATGTTGAAGAATAAGCAAAAATTAAGTTATTTCAACAACTTCAATAACAT